TCCTTGCACATCTAGCGCCTATTATGTTTGAATTTAATTTTTTTTTTATTCTTATGATTTTTTAAAATTTAGTTAATTCGTTTTATACATCAGTAATTTAAGTTTATCATGTTTATGGACTTTACTTTTTGGTTCGGCATTAGTATTAAGGTCTACACTACCTGTCACTTATAAACCTGTGTAAATAATATTTCCATAGATACTTCGCACTAACAATCCTAAGAAAAATATGGGGTATACACCCCGCGTACATGTTGCATACACCCCGGACACAACATTGATTTTTCGACAATATATTTATATACGAACTGTTTTATTAACAGACAATGTGTACAAACGTTTATATAGTAAACATGTATTTAACAATAATATAAAAGTGATGATAAAGCAAATCTTTCTTGTAATATTTGATCATAAACACAGTGTAGCGTTAATCTTGCTCCGATCCTCGGAATTGTGTTGAGGTGTTTGATAAAACTAGAAGGTGTCCAGTGGATTCATAGGTATCCATATACTCCTTAGATAATGCTTTCTGGCGAAAAATATCCGTAAGTTGAGAAAATGGACAAAGAACCTACATTAACCCCCTTTCTCTCGCTTCGGAGGCATACACCCCGCGCACAACATAGTATACACCCCGCATGTTGGGATATACACGGTGTATAGATGTTGTCAATGGGGAACTCCAGCAACCTTTTAGTATCATCTTTGGTTACTTGTGCGCAGAACCAGAATAAGATTCAGATACTTGTCTTCAGATAAAAAAACATGATTTCAAATTTTCTGTGAGTTTTTGAGAATCCACATTTGAATCCACTTTTGGAATATGCTGTAGCACAGTAAAGAAGGTAAACTTATGCAATATAATGTTTTGATTTCATTACCTAAGGCTGATGTTTTACATAATGAATCACATTATCCCAATTTAGTTCATGGAAATAATGCTAGCTTGATAGGTAATGTTAAACTATTATGTCAATGTGATAGCCCTGGTATTAACGTGAGAGCATGGGTAAAAACTTTAATGTCATATTTCTCCTGGGTAGTAAGCTATCTTTATTGCATAAAGCAGCTTTACTATATCAGATAATACAGAAGCGTGGTTGTGCCTGCTTATTTACATACAAAGTTTCACCTGATTTTTTTTATTATTATTGTATTTCATGACCTCACAGAAAGTGAGCAATTTTTATAGATAATATAAAATTACAGCGTTTATGTAAAAGCTTTCTTACGACGAAACAGAATGATCAATTTTTTCAAGTAAAGAGAATGTTTATAAATTAAAAAAAAAACAATTCACTTACATGTATTAAATGAAATATTCAAATTAGTCAATCTTCCGGACATTTACCTTTCTGAAAGATTCTTCTTCAAAGGCCACAAAAATGCACGTAAAATTTTGCATTTTTGAACAATTTTGATGATTTTCCACGACTGACGCCCTCCTAATTTGTAATAAACACCTTCTAATTGTTATTTTTTAACCTGAATATTAATCACTTGTTTGATTGTGTTCGATTATCAATCAGAAAAGTTGTTTTCACACTGAATTCTATCTTAGATCTATAGAGAAATAACTTTTTTGCTATCATTAAGCTTTTACAGAGTGTAATAAATGATAATTTGACACTTGATCTCATTAGTTAGTTAACGAAGTCAATCGCGAGAAAAGAGAAAGAACCTCAAATAGGTCAAGACGCTGGAACCGGAAATGCCAGAAATAGATGGCGGAAGAATTTCTCTTTTGGACCGTGGTATATCGATAAGGCGTAATATCAACAGATGACGCTAATTAATTCTACCATGAAGAAAGAATGATGCTTAAACAAGACTAGGAAACTAAGTAGTATTAATAGTACATTTTAAGTAAGTAAACTGGAAAAAAAATCCGAAAATAAACAGGTTTATTTTATGCTCGCAATGAATACATTACAGAGAAATTTTATCAACAAAACCCTATAGTTCTTTTTTTAAACAATGCTATATTGTACAATTTAATGGATACTTTATTTCTCAGGAAGTTTCTTCCAAGAATTCAGAAAGTGTTAAACAGCTTTATGAAAGTTCTTGAAATACAAAAAAAAAATACTGCGCTATTAGAGTCTGTACAAGAGAAAAGTATCTAAGACAACCTAAAAATCAAACAATTTCAACAAACTTCAATAAAAGTTATATCGAGATGTACAGTTTTGCTAAAGGCTTTACTCTTTTTGATATATTTAAGAGACAACTTAACCATTTTGGGAGAAATCTTAAGGAAAAGAAATTATTACTTAATTCATTGCGACAAAGTACATTAGATTAAATGAAATTTGCTTCATTTTGATAGATTTGTGAAAACAGTAAGTCCAGACGATATTGCGAGTATTTTAATTAAATGGAATAATATTGATATTTTAGAATTTTATAGGTCCAAACAAGATTTTACGTTATTCTCTGTATTATGTTCCCCAAACGAAGTTGGGGAACATATTGTTTTTACTCTGTTTCTTATTATTATTATTCTTATTATTATTATTTTTCTTCCTGGGAAAATTTTGTACGCGAGTGTTCTTGTAAACTACACATCCGACTTAGGTGAAACCTTTTTAGGGTAAGTAGGCATGGTATGTAGATTTGCGGAATCAAGGTCATTTTGCGCGCACGTGCTTGCAAGAGCGCGCACGTGCAAAACTGAAAATGACCAATATATAATGGATATAACCGTAACTTTTCTATTTTGTGACGAAATGTTTTGAAACGTATAATGTAAGGATATATTAGTAGTATGCACAAGATGACATGGTCAAAATAGCAAGATCGCACGCGCATGCACGTGCGCTTCGCTCTGATTGGCTGAAACTAAAGTTTCAATATCTTTTTTGTTTTTTGATACAATCCTTTGAAATTTTGAACCTAGTCATACATTAGGGAGGTCACAGCCTGTAATATAAGATTGATCATGAAAGCATGTGCATGCACATGTGCTTGCAATAAAAAATGTCCAATATAATTGATACAGACGTAACTATTTAAATTATTGATGAAATGCTTTGAAACTCATAATATAAGTATATATTAGTCGTAAAGACATGATGACATGGTCAAAACTGCAAGATCTCACGCGCATGCACGTGCGCTTCGCTCTGATTGGCTGAAACTAAAGTCTCAATATCTCTCTTGTTTCATGTCATAATCCTTTGAAATTTTGAACATAGAACTACATTATGAAGATCTACAGCATGATGTATTATAAGAATATTTCATGAAAGCATGCGCATGCCCGCGTGCTGCAATCTGATTGGCTGAAACTTTAAATGGCTATATCTCCTTTGTTTTTTGACGAAATGCTTTGAAATTTAAAACATAGTCATGCATTAGGATATCCTATAATATGATATAGAAAAAAATCATGAAATCACGCGCATGCACGTGTGCTGCAATCTGATTGGCTGAAACTTGAAATGGCTATAATTTGTTTTTCAACCAAACAGGATGGGATTTAGAATATAGATAGATATAAGGGACTCCTACAAGAAGGTATGGTCATCATGCACGTGCACGCACGTGCGTGCATTTGGAACGAGTGAAATTAAAAAATACACTTGAGAGAGTGATTTTTCATACTTTTGGACTGAATGCTTTAATATATTGTATATTAAAATAAATAGATAGTGTAGACAAGATGGTATGGTCATAACGCACATGCATTCACATGCGCACGGGTGCAATGATAAAATTTAAATATAATTGGTATCCTTCAGAGAAAACGTTGTTAAAGTCAAAAATGCACAGAGTTTGTCTTATTTAATAAAGCTTACAGGGAATATGGCACCAAAAAAGAGTTGGGGAGCGTTTGGGGAACATCTGTAACGGTTCCCGTTACAATTAGCACTAGTTTCTTTTACTTTATGCTCACCTCAGCAACATGAAAAAAATTGTTTTCAAGATTTGTTTTAAAATTTTTGTCTTTAATACTCAAAGTTTTTGCACTTTCCGGTGGTCAGAGAAATATCCCCTGGACAAATTGTTAAATAAAACTCAATGATATAAGTAATAAAATGAAAATGAAAACTTACATGAAATTCATAAGATTTAATTCATCATGAAATGAATAAATATTATTCATTTTGTGTAATCAATATTAAATGAACAGTTTTTTAAAATCAAATTTCAAGCATGTCAATTTCAAGAAAATCATTTATTTTGATTTTCTGTAAATGACAACACGTGAAAAATAATTCCCCAATCTAGTTAAAAAGTCCTTTATGACATTGCTTATATCTGCATATCGGAGAGCACAGAAGTTTAACTAGAGAGGATTGTGAGAGCTCTTGTTTCTTCGGTGCGACAATCCATTTCAGACGTCATTATCTTCCGCTAATTAAAATGATTGGTGATTGTATCTGTTGACAAGAAACATTATTGTTAAGGTAAAAGCATGTTGCTCCATTATCATCCTTTCGCTGGGTGCTTTTGTCCCATTTTTTTAGTGTGCTTTTTGTATTTTCCATGTGTTATTATTTTCGAATTCTTTGACCTTGTCCATTATTTCACTTTGTATAAAGATGGATTTTGCGTGGTCGAATACAAATTATTTAAATGGTTAACCATAAGTATTTACCAGTAAACAAGATCATTGCAAATGCTTGTAAAATACATTTGTTGCACCAGTAATATGTGCGTATGTTATGTTTTATTAATGAAATTAATTCAAACGACAACTCACTGATATATAACTACACGTACAGTGTAAGAGATATATATGTAAGCAATTGATTAATCAATATTAAGGACAGTAAATTTCAAGCATTTGATGAAAAAGAATATCCTTATATGATAAATAAGTATAATTTTTAGTCCCTATATGATGAACAAACCAAGAAGTATCTTTTCTGTATGTACTTACAGAATGTCGTTTTAATTTCGCTTCTTTTTCAGCAACTTCCTCAACTTCCGTATTTTTATCCGAGTCAACTACAAATAAAGAAATAGAAAGTACTTCAACATATCAAAATATGGATTCAACGACAACACAACAACCCACTGAATCCTCAACATCCACAGATATTTTTACCACTAATACACAGATGACAGAAACATCAACTTCAGTGGCAACAGAAACAACTTCAGCAGAAAATGAAGCAGAGTCCACATCAAACATATTGTTAACACTTTCAACAACATCAACAACATCAACCATAAATGAAATATCAACAGAAAAACCCAGTGTTATTTCTTCATCTGAAGAGCCTTCAACAACAATTTTATCAACATCAGTGGAATTATCTGAACCATCAATATCCCAAACAACCGAACCCTTAGCAACATCGACAGAGGAAGATCAAAGCCAAATAATTGAATCTACAACCCTATCATCAAATTCAGCAAGCACATCAACAGCAAAATCATCTACAACAACAACAAGCACAACAGAAGCTATGGTATCTACACCAACTGTGGCACATGATACAACGGAAACATCTGAAGAATCCACAGAAACAACAACAACAACAAAAGAACCACATGTAAGCAGTACAGCAGTAGAAACGCCATTTGCTACAGAAGAATCAATTGTCACCAGTTCAACAACAGAATTACCAATCAGCACAATTACAGCAGAACAACCTGTACCTACTACAACAGAAGAATTACCAGTAACCACATCAACAGGACCACCTGAAACTACTACAAAAACGGAAATACATGTATCAACAAAAATATCACCAGAAACTATCACAACAACAGATTCAACTTTAACAATTACAAATTCAAGGTTATCAACCACCGCAACATCAGCAGAGACTTCACAAAGTACTACAGCAAAAGAAGAACAAGCCACCACAACACCATCAGAACCGAAATTAACAACCTCTAAAATAGAGGAATCTACCACTACACCATCAACAGAAACATCAGAAACGACTACAACAAAAGAAGAGATATCCACCACAACATCATCAGAACCAATCAAAACAACTTCAGAAATAAAAGTATCAACCACTCTATCATCAATAGAAACACCAGATACTACTACATTGAAAGGATATGAAAGCACAATATCAACAGAATCGCCTGTAACTACTACCAAAATAGAAACACCAACCACAACATCACCCACAGAGGAATCTACTCTTTTGACAGAAGAACAAACCAATACAACACCTTCAGAGTCATATGTTTCTACTTCAAAAATAGAAGACCAAACCACAACCACATCATCAGAGCTGCCTGAAATTTCTACAACAAAAGAACAACCAACCACCACAACCTCAACAGAATCTTACATAACTTCCACATTAGAAACTCAAACCACCACGACATCAACGGAAGCACCTGTTTCTACTACAAACATCACACTAATAACCACCATACCATCAACAGAAACACCAGAATCTACTACAACAATGAAAGTACAAACCACCACACCATCAACAGAAACACGAGTGTCTACTTCAACAATAGAAGGACCAACCACCATACCATCTAGTGAAACATCAGAAATTACTACAATGATAAAAGCACCAACCACCACACCATCAACTGAAACATCAGAAAGTACTACAATGATAAAAGCACCAACCACCACACTCTCAACAGAAACAACGGAAGCTACTTCAACAATAGAAGCACCAACCACCACACCATCATTGGAACCACCAGAAACTACTACAACGATAAAGGCATCAACCATCACATTCTCAACAGAAACACCAGAAACTACTACAATGATAAAAGAACTTGCTACAACACCATCAACAGAAAACCAAGAAACAACTACAACGATAAAATTTCCAACCACCACACCATCAACAGAAACACCAGCATCTTCTTCAACAAAAGAAGGAACAACCACCTTACCATCAACAGAAACACTAAAAACTACTACAACAATAGAAGCCACAACCACCACATCATCATTAGAGACATCAGAGACTACTACAAAGATAGAAATACCTACCACCACACTATCAACCAAAACACCAGAAGCATCTACAACGATAAAAGTACCAACCATGACATCATCAGGTGAAACACCAGAAACTACTATATCGATAGAAATACCAACTATGACATCCTCAACAGAAAAACAAGAAACTACTACAACGATAAAATCACCAACCACAACCTCTTCAACAGAAACACCGGAAACTACGATAACAATAGAAAAACCAACCACCACAACAGTAACAAAAACACCAGAATTTACTTCAACGATAGAAGCACCAACCACAACACCATCAATAGAAACAGCAGAAACTACTTTAATGATAAAAGCATCAACCACCACATCATCAATAGAAACACCAGAAACTACTACAAATATAGAAATACCAACTTCCACACCATCAACAGAAACACCAGAATCTACTACAATGTTAAAAGAACTTACCACACCACCATCAACAGAAACACCAGAAACCATTTCTACAACAGAAGTGCAAACAATTACAACACAAACAAATATACCAGAAACCACTACAACAATAAAAGCACCAACCTCAACACCATCAACAGAAACATCAGAAACTACTACAAATATATTCAAACCAACTTCCGCACCATCAATGGAAACCACAGAATCTACAAGTACGTTAGAAGCTACAACCACAATACCATCATTCGAAACGCCAGAAACTACTACTAAGATAGAAATATCTACCACCCCTCTATCAACGAAAACACCAGATATTACTACTACAATGATAAAAGCACCAACCACAACACCATCAACAAAAACAGCAGAAGCTACTTCAACGATAAAAGCACCAACAACCACATCATCAACAGAAACACCTGAAACTACTACAAATATAGAAATACCAACTTCCACACCATCAAAAGAAATAACAGAATTTTCTACAACGTTGGAAGCTACGACCACAATACCATCATCGGAAACACCTGAAACTACTACAAAGATAGTAATATCAACCACTACACTATCAACAGAAACACCAGAAACTACTTCGAAGATAAAAGAACCAATAACCACAATGTCAACAGAAACACCAGAAACTACTTCTATGGTAAAAACACCAACCACCTCATCATCAACAAAAATACAAGAATCTACTTCAACGATAAAAGCAGCAACCACCAAACCATCAACAGAAACACCAGAAACAACTTCGAAGATAAAAGAACCAACCACCACATTGTCAACAGAAACACGAGAATCTTCTTCAACGATTGAAGTACCAACCATCACACCATCAACAGAAACAGCAGAATCTACTACAAAGATAGAAATACCAACAACTAAACAATCTACAGAAATACCAGAAACCTCTACAACGATAGAAGCACTAACAACCCCACCATCAAAAGAAACGCAAGAAACTACTTCTACAATAGAAGTACCAACAATTTCAACATCAACAAAAATACCAGAAACAACTACAACAATTAAAGCACCAATCACTACACCATCAAAAGAAACACCAGAATCTACTACATCGTTAGAAGCCACAACCACAACACCATCATTGCAAACACAAGAAACTACTATAAAGATAGAAATACCTACCTCCACACTTTCAACAGAAACACCAGAAACTAGTACAACGATAAAAGAATCAACCACAGCATCATCAGGTGAAACACCAGAAACTACTTTCACGATAGAAATACCAACTATGACATCCTCAATAGAAAAACAAGAAACTATTACAACGATAAAATCACCAACCACAACACCATCAACAGAAACACCAGAAACTACTACGCAGATAGAAAAACAAACAACCACAACAGCATCAGAAACACCTGAATCTACTTCAACAATAGAAGCCACAACCACAATACCAACAATGGAAACACCAGTAACTACTACAAATATAGAAATACAAACCTCTACACCATCAACAGAAACAACAGAAGCTACTTCAATGATAGATGTAGACACCGACACACCATCAACAGAAACACCAGAAACAACTTCATCAATAGATGCACCAACCACAACATTATCATTGGAAACACCAGAAACTACTACAAAGATAGAAATATCTACCACCACACTATTACCAGAAACACCAGAAACTACTTCGAAGATAAAAGAACCAACCACCACATCATCAACAGAAACACCAGAAACTTCTTCAATGATAAAATCACCAACCACCACACCATCAACAGAAACACAAGAATCTACTTCAACGATAAAAACACCAGCGACAACACTATTAATAGAAACACCAGAATCTACTTCAACGAGGAAAGCCCCAACCACCACACTATCAACAAACACTCCAGAAACTACTTCAACAATAAAAGTACCAACCATCACACTGTCAACAGAAACACCAGAATCTACTTCAATGATAGAAGCACCAACCATCACATCATCAACAGAAACACCAGAATACACTTCAACATTGAAAATACCAACCACCACATCATTAACAGAAACACCAGAATCTTCTTCATTGATAAAAACACCAACCACCACACTATCAACGGAAACACCAGAATCTACTTCAACGATAGAAGCACCAACCACCACACCATCAACAGAAACACCAGAATCTACTTCAACTACAAAAGAACCAACCGCAACGACATCAATGGAAACTCCAGAAACTACTACAAATATAGAAATATCAACTTCCACACCATCAGCAGAATTAACAGAATCCATTACTATCAAAAAAGCACCAACTACCGTACTATCAACAGAAACAACAGAAACTACTACAAAGACAGATAAACAAACCACCATACCATCAACAGAACTACCGAACATAGAATCATCAACCACCACAACACCAGACACCACTACAAGGATAGATGTGTCAATTACCACAATATCAACAGAAAAACCGAACGTAGAGTCCACAACCTCAGAGTCAACAAAACCAGAAGCAACAACATTGCTTAAGGAATCATTAACAACCACTGGCTCCACAGAAGCCTGGATACCCACAATGTCGAAAGAAACAACAACAACAACCCCAATGCCGACAGCAGCTTCGACATCCGACGATAGCATTTCCACCAAATCTACCGGTGAAGTATATTTCTCTTCAACAAATACTCCAACGATTACATCATCGACGGTAGAGGTGCAAACAGCTGAATTAGGGGCCTCATCTACATTAACAGAAATCCTTTTTACGACCGAGGCACCAGCGAACAAATCGAGTGAGATCCCACCATCCACTGCTATACCCACTGAAGTTTACAGGACTACTGTGATGGAAGGCCAATCTACTGTCAATTCCAATAAAGAAGGTAAGCACACAATAACGATATTTACAAATATAAAAATGATAAATATATTTATGAATAACCACATGACACATGTCCCATCTACAATAATAGAATTTGTTACTTCTACAAAGGCACTAATGACTGAAACTTTCATTTAAAAATTACCACCTTTCAATAAAAAATGTTTTCAACGTCAACTTTTACTGAATCACCAACAAATGCATCAACAGAAATATCAACCAATACGCCATTAACAGAATCTACATTAACAGTGAAGTCGACAAATGGAATTGAATCAACAACAGTAGATTCAAAGAGAAGTTCGACAGAAACAACTAATTACTCAAAGGAAATTGACTTCACCATAGCATCAACTCAAAAAGACACATCAAGTACATCTGAAAAAGCAACTACAAATGTTTCACAGACAACCACAACTTTTGTCGATTCAACAACAGATGAAGCCATGTCAACTCTTTTCAGTATTCAACAAGCTACAACAGCTTACCCAACACCACTGACAGAAACTGATTTGATGACGGCATCAAAAATTCCTACTACTGAGTCAAATCGTAGAGAAGAACAAGAATCTACAACTTTGACAACAATAATAAATCAGTCTGATAAAACGACTGAGGAATCTAAAACTACAATTCCAAAAGAATCTCCTCCAACTACATCATCAGATGAAAAGTCTACCATAACAGAAATTTTTACAGTTCCAAATACGTTAACAACTGATCACACGCCGAGCATTATTGATTCTTTCGACGGGACCACATTAACAAGCACTGATGAAAACACTAGTACTGAGGAAAGTACAAATTTAATGGGAGGTAAGAGACTCATCAAGTAAAGAAATGTTTTATTGCTTAAAAAGTTCTGAAAAATACCCCTGGTAGTTCAAACCATAATTCTGATCTGCTAGAAAAATGTGTAAAAATAAAATCTACAAATTGCAGACAGATCAATGGATTATAAAGATGAACAAAAAGCTCATTTAGTGGCACTGATGTCAACATCGGAACTTTTAAGTAAAATGTAGCATATAATAAACGCAACATTTTAAATGATGTAATTAATGATAATTAAAACCCGTCTTTCTAATTAAATGATAAAAGTAAATTAATTACTTACCAGCGCATATAAACTGATTATTGCATTTAACTTAAGTCGCAATATTGAACCACAAACCACTAGTACTGAAATAAAATTAAATTGTAAATGAAATGAAAACTTTACTGAAACTTTCTGTTTCTTTGCAGAGACCACACAGAAAGGGGACATCTCTTCAACAGAAGCAATGACATTGCAAGATCTCACAACTGTTAATGAAATAAAAACTTCTGAATCATTCACAAGTTCTGCAATGTTAACCACTAGTAATATCCCAACTTCAACAGAAAGTGATTCAGTAAACACGATAACATCACCACAAACGGCAGCTACGGATATTACTTCCAAAGTGGCAACATCTACAAAAATTGAATCAACAACAATAAGTCCAGAATTCAATTCAAATAGTTCTACAGCTTCAGCTGGAATAACTTCTGTTGATGTCACTGAGACTTTTGCAACAGAAAGCACACCAGTGGTAGAAGACATATCTACCACCAGGAATATTGATGAAACTTCTACAATATCGATTCCCAAAACAACTTCCATAGAGGATGAAATAACCAAGACTTTCACATCAACCACTCTCGGGAATGAAGGTAATACAGCTGAATTAAATTTTTCAGATACGTCTGAGAAATACACAACGACAATGCAACTACCTTCCTCAGATCCTCCTTATATAACAACAAGCACAGTAACTAACAGACCAACAGATACCACAGATAGTAAAACAACAGTTCCATCAACAACTTTTACAAGAAATCCAATAAACAATACTGAAAGTTTAATTTTAACAACCACAGATAAAGCGAGAAGTTCCACTCAAACAGAACATACGGCGGTAACAGAAGAATTGACAACACTGGCAACTAAGGTCAAAAGCACTACAGAAGAGGATACCTTTATGCTAACGTCCAGAGGTAATACAGAAGCATCTGAAACAAGTACTTCTGCTAACACATTCTTGAATGATAATATTACAAGTGCATTTTCTATCACAGACATGAAAACCACTACCACTGATTCGACAGAAACAGAACGTTTTACAATAGAAGATAATACAAACACGATGCCCTCAACAAGTAAATCATCTACAGATAGTGGAAGTTCAGTCAATGTTACATCACCCGTTTCAACATCAGGTGCAACAGAAAGTATATCGGTGCCAGAAGATTCAACCACTACTATGATGCTAACAAGAAAGACTACCACTGATGACACAACTTTTCCGGAAACCACGACCCTCGTTGATGGTACATCAAGTTACCCTTCAACTTCGTCTGAAATGGATAACAATAAACAGACTATTTCAACCACTGAAGGTAAGACATCTCCAATTAATAGTGAAACATCATCACACACATCATTTGTCAGTTCTTTGGCTAGCATAAATACCAAGAGTACAACACCCTCTGCTCCTCTTACTGACAATCACAAAACAACAGTGGCCAGTTCGACAACATCTGAAAATGTTGAACTTTCTTCGATTGCTGAAGGAAAAATAACTTCTTTAGAAAGTTCTACAACTAAGATTCACTCAACAAATTCTGACGACATTACTAATACTCTATCTGCAATAACAACCGGAAGTTCTGTGGTTGAAGAAATAAGTGACAACACAGTTTCATCAAGTAAAGATAGTACATATGTGTATAAATTAACAACACCAACTGAAAATGATCAGTTCAGCACAGCAAATTCACCCTCATCTACAGCCAAAATAAATTTGTCTAGTCCAACTACCACTGTTCAAAGTTCAACAACAACTAGTTTTGATTCAAAAATTCCAACAGGCGAAACAAACAATTATGAAAAGACAACAGAAGATATTGTAAACGGTACAACTTCGGAAAGTGCAGATCTTTCAATTACACCAACATTATCAAGTGCTACAAACACACATATACCAACAACAGACAAAACGACATCCACAACCCATATAGATCTTGGGTCAGACACTACATCTTTATCTACTGCTGCCAGTACTCTATCTACGGATATATCAAGCAATGTCCCAAGTTCATCGACAACATATTCAACTTATATACCTACGGAGAACTCCCCTAAATTCCAATCGACCGACATCACACATAATACGAACACAATGACAAAAATTGTACCATCCAACGATATATCAACAGATACACACACACCTGCTGATGAAAATACAGCTTCAATTAGCACACCATATTCAACATTGCATACATCCACACCGGCATATAGTTCAACAGTCAAATTTAAAACATCTACAGTTACGGAAACCTCAAATATTGATGACGTATCAAACGCCAGCACAGATAGTATGAATACTGATAGTATGATGGCTACTACTGATAGTACGCTCACACAAACACCAACAAAGACCACTGTGACAGAGACAAACGTAGATGAAATGACAACAATAAGTAGCAGGATTACTGATATTCAGAGTAAAACAACAGATTCATCAACAACTAACATAGCCACAAGTCCCACCAAGATAGAACAAATTCAAAACAATATGACAACCCAAATGGATATCACACCTACTACAACCACAGATGAAAGTGCTACTACTGATAAAGGAACAAGTAGTGATATTTCTAGTACAACAACTTACAAACCAACCAATACTAAAGAAACAAACACTGAAAAACTGGATAGCACAACAACAAATAATGCAGAAAGCATACGTACATTCAATACAGGATCTACAATATCGGATAGTTCAACAAGTAAAACACAAACGTCAGAGAGTACAACGAAGGACGATTCTTTCGAAACACAAACGTCCGAAGGAACAAAAATACCAGAACCTATTTTAACAAGCAAAAGCTCGACTAATACCACATCAGCATCTCTGGAAAGTCAGAAATTTTCGACAATAACAACAGTGATACTTGAAGCCTCTCTAAAACCTTCTAATGAAACTTATTCCACTGAAAATTGGTTTTCGACTTCAGAAACTCCGAGTTCAAAATTGTTTGATACTACAAGTACCAAAGGTACATCAAACAAGTTCCTACGAATTCATATTTAATGAATTATAAACTTTCACGATTTATGTACGTCATGACAATTACTGTAGCCGATATTGATTCAGATGTAAATTCTTTTTTGCTTACTTCAAGTGTAAAATGTAAAAAAAAAAATAATTGAATGTATTCGATTAGCAATGAATAGTTATTAATCTATTTTCAGAGACAGCAACTCCAGATGTGTCCACCACAACTGAAAAAGCTTCTACAATATCAGCAAAGGAATCTTTTTTCACCTCAGATTCTACACCAACAATCACAAATGCCTCTATCACCTCGATGCCCTTTATATCCACCACCACCATTGCCACTTCTACGACTTTAAAACAAGAAGAACCCACGACGATACAAAATCTCCTTACCTCAATGGTTAGCAATGTATTAACCACAACAGCTAACAGCGGGAAGCCCACAACACTGGGGATTTTGACGACAACAACGACGAAGGCCCCTACCGTGATTGCAGAAGAAGATGAAGTGGCAGGCGTAATAAAGATTGAGGAAGATTTTGATGAGGCGTTGCGCGATCCAACTTCTGACGCTTATCAGCGGAAAGTTGAAGAGATATTAGCTTTGGTAGGAATTTTTCGACCAATTAATTTGAATTTAAATGGGTATTGTTACATTGTTACATTGTTCTGCTTTTTTATGTAAACATCTTATTTTTATTTAAAATAAGTGTAAGTCGTACATTTATAAACATGATTAAAACCAAATTAAAAGCACAGAAATCATCAAAAGAGTATTTATAAAGGTAAATCAAGTAAATATGAGGTTTTTTTTAGCTTCAGAAACTTTTTGCTAATACTGAGATTGCCAAATATATCGCCAACATCAGGATAGAAGGTTTTATGTAAGTACTATAACCATATCTTGTAGAATACTGGAATCACACATTGCTTGATTTAGAATTCAGGGTAAAGATATATTTTTTACAGGGAAGGCAGTCTCATCGTGAAATTTAAAGTAGTCTTGATAAATGTACATTTTGATGCTTCATATCTGAGAACAACGCTGAACAGTGCTTACTATGCAAGCTTTGAGCCTCAATATGTACTTAAAGATGAGTTTACACAATTCTCAGGTAATAAATTATACTTTCTATATTTGTTGTTTTTAAAACATATTTCTATATATATTATAGGTGTCTGGATAGAACATCCCATAAGGCATTACTGTCTTTGATAATATTTGACATATTTTTTTTACTAAGAAGGATTTTCATTGTGCGAGATATAGTGTTTTTCCAACTTTAGAATTTAGTTAATCAAAATAAAACTTCAAGATATTTTAATTATGTACGATTTGATCATATTTCGAAAAACATGAAATTTGAACTGTCACTTTTTTGTTACTTTTGATAACAAAACACACATTTATTTTACTAATTTAATGTATCAGTATTATCAAAAAAGCATATCTATCTTGGAATAAATATTATTCTAGAAAAAATTTGTAAAAATATTTTTCATTAGAAAAAAATTAGTAAGATTAAATTGATTTTTGCCTTACAATAGATTGCTACTCTCTCGTATTCTTTTACAGTTTATCAAGAATCAAACCAGAAAAAAAATAGAAAAGTAAGATTAAATTGATGAGGTATTCTTTCAGTTGACGGTGGATTTGAAACCATACTGGGACAGACTGAAACTACAACAAGTGGTAAGAATGAGGAAATCTCTCAAAAACTTAATTTATATTGTAGAGGTTATATGGTAATTGGTGTCTTGTGACTTTGGAATTCATTACAAGTGTGAATTAGGCATATTTTTTTTAGATTCACAAGTATTTGGATTTGAAATACAAATTAAATAATAAATTATTAATAATTATTATGACATATATTAATAAGTTTAACTATAATAGGAAATGTACCAGTAACTATGTTTACACATATATATATCAGAAATTTGATTTCCAGCAATTGACCATTGTCTCGATAATCCATGCCCGTCCTTGGCTACGTGTAAGAGTCTATCAACAAGCTATCAATGTCTCTGTCCCGAAGGTTACGATCTCAGAAATAACCAATGCCAAGGTAGAGTCCTTTGTCTGTAAATTACTCTTGGAGATCATTTGCCATAAATCAACTCTTAATGTTACAGTTGAGATAAAGACCTCATGGTGGTATGTTGCAAAATTTATTTTGCAAAATAAAGCAATTAATGGAAACACAGGACGAAAAGAAAGATACTCAGATAATTATTTTGGCCTCCAATCGTTTTTTTTCAGGATTATTTCATTTTCCCCTTTTAAAAAAAAAATTCAAAGGTAGACAGATTTAGGCCATTTAAAATAAACAATAACACAAATAAAAAGAGTCCTTAACTTTTAGATTAATATTTTAAATTTAAATGTTTTGTAATCTTTTCAAAAATAATTTTGTTAAATTCAAATTGTATGTTCGTACAAAAGTACTGAATGTTTCTCTTTCATTCCTAGATGTAAATGAATGTCTAGAATTCCCGTGCGCCACACACTTCATCTGTAACAACACGATAGGAAGTTATACATGTTTTTGTGAGACAGGCTTTTTCCTGAATGGAGACAGATGCGAAGGTAACTCCTTCAAAGAAGACACAAAACTTTTGTAAAAAAAAAATGAAAATGATCAAAGATAAAGAGTTAATCTTCTCTAAGTTTATATAGGTGATGTAATGGAATTGTGAAAAATTTCCACTGATTTTACATGTACAATGTAAAGCTTTAAGTGAAAAATGTATCTAAAAGTAAAATGTATCAAACGATCACAATGATCATTTTTCATAATATACATTGCATTTCAAATAACAGTAAACATGGATGATGTGTTTTTAGATGTCAATGAGTGTTTAATCAATGATGTTTGTCCTCAAAACTCAAACTGCATCAATCTGGAGGGCAGTTATGTGTGTGCTTGTAACAGTGGATTTACAAAGAAGAATGACCTCTGTATAGGTATAAATGACAGGAAGGAATTATTAATTTAATTAATTAAGTATAAAAAGAAGCAAAGTCATGGATTTTCCTAATGGCACTTATTTGAATCCTTTATCAAAGCTAATTTTCTACAGATTATGTTAACATACAACTTAATATAAAATTAGTCTTTCTTGACAAAAGTAAATTGTACCCTGGCGCCTCTGGCGCACCTTAACCCTGGTTCACTGTACCCATCTAATGGGCAAAATATGAATTATTTATTAATATTAAAATGTGTGATATTATAGTAAAAAGAGCTATTTTTTCCACACATTTGTTATATAGATGTAAATGAATGTGAAGGAAACGTTTGTCCAGACCATTCTGTTTGTAACAACACGGAAGGGAGCTACACCTGTACATGTGAAACAGGATTTGTCAGCAGCAATGGTGTCTGCATTGGTAATATTAATTTCAATGGACTCATTTCAATAGAACCACATATAAAAAATTATTTTATATCAAAAAATAAAATAAATTCAAAAGATATTGATCTTTTTAATAAAATTTCCTGAAACATACACCTTTAAAGGAAAAGGCTCACTTAAAACTTAATATCTGATAGTAATTAAGGTCTGATGAAACCGGTCACCTATTTTTATAATAATGTGTTATTTTTGTTTTTCAATACTCTGATGGTATTTTCTTTCTGATCTTTTCAGATAATAACGAGTGTTTAACAAATGTTTGTCCTGAAAATTCCAATTGTGAAAATAAATTAGGAAGTTTTATATGTTTCTGCAAAGCTGGTTTTGCAAAAAACGGAACCCAATGCGTAGGTAAGAAGAAATCCTAAAAAAATTAAGGTAACGATACTTCCTTATACTGTTCTTAGCTTATATTTATTGGGGAAAAGAAATACCTTTGTTAATCTTGTAATATTCATAAATATTGATTTTCATTACTTAAGGCTATTTATCACAAGAAATTCTGAACCTAAATGGGGGACTATCAGTTACAGATGGTTATAATGATCGTTAATTGTGTGAAATATGATCGTAGCGTTCCATTGATAAACATGTAGAAAAGTGCAGTTTTCATCTGCAGTTCAATATTATGATGAATGTTTCGATTCTTGTCTAGGTCAACGCTCTTATCAGATGAATGAGCATAAAAGTGACTATGCAAAAAAATTAACGACATCCGAAAAAAAAACGACAATCACAAAAAATGTCGCCCACCATTGTTTTTTTTTAAACACCTGCTTTCATTCAATATTAATACCTGTAAGATCAGAGGAGTTTGTTGGCTTTTTTGTATGTTGTGCAGTTTCCGTCCGATGAGTGTGTTTTCAATGAATTAAGTGATTTCCCCTTTTTTGTCAAAAACTTTTCAAAGTGTTTTCAAAATAACAAAAAGCAATATAATTATCGTAATCGTATTGGATGGCCTACATTTTTTACATTGAAAATAAGACAGCGAGAAAATATAATTAATTTTATATGTGATAAGTGAAATGATTAAAGATTTTAGTCATTTAGAATAAGTTTCATGTCTTTATATTTTTAAGATATTGACGAATGTTCCATGACACCAAATCTTTGTAAAGAGAACAGTTTGTGCACCAATACCATTGGTAGTTTTCAGTGCACATGCACTCCAGGATATATTGACACCGGGGATTCCTGTAAAGGTAATGTATAAGAAGACATTTCTTTTTCTTTTTCTCCCCAGCCTTCGCTGAAAGTGGGGAATATTAATTTGGGTCTGTTTGTCCGTCCGTCTCCTTCTGTTTTTATGTCTGTCTGTAACACTTTCGAATGTGCCCACTCTTCATCTGCTCATGGTCTTTTTTCCTTAAGCTGAGGAAACATATTCTTTGAATGAGCTTGTATATTATAGCGAACACATGTAGTAGCCTCTTATGACAGGTATGGGCATTCAAATTGAAATGTATACATTTGTTAAGTACAATTTTGGGAGAAACGTTGCCAAAAATTTTTCACTATCATAATTTCCTATCATTATGGCAAATATCGCAGTTACAGTGAATATTAGGTGTTTTAAAAAGCTGAAAGAAAGCATAGTACATCTTCTCTGCAATGTCTTTTAATTAAACGATTTCGCTATCTAAACTCACTTATGCAACTAACATACGATGCCATTGCTCTGTAAGAGAATTTTTATTTTTCCTTGCTAAAATTGTAAAGAAAAACTGGTATATCTTTTTTTTCGAAATAATTTTATAAATTTCTAATGGCATTAAAGTTTGGACAGTTTCTTTTGTAGGCTATGTGTTAAACCATCTTTATTGTTTTAGTATATTATTCATTCTTGCTTGTCTCTACAATGTTTCTGTTTGTACATTTAAAAAGTGGAATCATTATTACCTATCTACTTACAGATATTAATGAATGTGACCTCGGAATGTGCCCAGACTTCTCAGTGTGTACTAACACTGATGGGAGTTACCAATGTAATTGTGTGGCTGGCTATACGATGGAAAATGCGACGTGTATTGGTAGGTGTCAACTCTTATACTTGAATACCTTAATCTTTTAACCAGTATGTATTATAAGCAAAATCTTACACACACTCAATCATTTTCAAAGACTGATAAACCCCCTGATTTTATGAGGAATTATTTGCATCAGATTCCATTTCAATTAATTTTCAAATAAGCATTATTTTTTTTTAGATATCGATGAATGCAAAAGTAATGTGTGCCCGGAGCACTCGGTTTGCAAAAACACCGATGGAAGTTATATATGCACCTGTGAGCTAGGCTATGTAATGACAAAGGGTAGCTGTCAAGGTGCGTATACACTGAAAACTCCTGTGTGATTGTAGGTGTTTACTGTAAAACACGGTTATAGCGAACACACTTTTAACGAATTGACGCTTACAACAAACTAATTTTCATTCTTCGTAATTTTAAAATAAATATGATAAACGGATATAATGAATTATGCTTACAACGAATCAAAATTGTCCGTCTCTGGCCATTCGTTATAAGCATGGTTTACTGAATAGTGATATTAGAACTCAAATAAAATTGCGAGTTAGTATTTTTCTCTGTATTTAGACGTGGATGAATGTATCAGCGATCTCCACAGCTGTCCTGTAACATCAACTTGTATGAACACAAAAGGGTCGTACCATTGTAGGTGTTATAATGGTTACTTCCAATCAGGACCTCAATCTTGTACAGGTAGCTCACTCCAACAAAAAATCAAACGATTTTAAAAATACAACTTTTTAGATATACTGTAATCAACTGTAGCTGGCCTGTAAATCAATATCCAAAATTTTTATAACCCACTCCAACACAAAGAAACGTTTTAAGTATTCAACTTTCACAATATAATATAAGCAACTGTAGATGGCCTTTAAACAAAAGTTTTTTTTCATTATAGGACATTTTTATTGACATCTCATCTTTTAAGACCAAATACTATTGTCTTTTCTTTTTACTAATTTAAAAAAATATCCTGTTTAGAGAGCAGTATTTATAATCTTGACATGAGAGTACAGAAAGTGAATGGAAGTGAAGCTGTGTATTCAATCTTATTGAATGACTCCAGCACATATGAATTCAAAACAATGGCAGGAAATCTCGCTCAAGTAGTAAGTATTTAGAATTGTTTTGAATTTTTTCCCAATCAATGAACGAGAGAAACTGCCAAATCATGATGAATATTCGATTTCTTTCAGACTGATCATATTATACTAGACTCGATGATTCATCAAGGTTATCTGGGAACATCATTTTATATGTTTGAACCAGGAAGCATTGTATCCCATGGCAATTTGTATTATGAACCAGAAGTCATATTATCATCTACTGAAACTGAACTATTTGCCGCCAATTCCACCTCAGCTTATCAACAATATTCAATTGAGTTATCTGAACTAAATTTGACAGGTATTTTTTTTAAAAACACGAATTATTCTGGAATTGATTGTTAAATTGATCTTAATTTTATCTTACCACTTTAAGTATTTTAAATATAATTTTATATACATTTCCCCTTTTTGTTTAGATGTAGATGAATGTTTGAACACGGATTTAAATGACTGCTCCGAATATGCAAATTGTTCAAACACACCTGGAAAATATAATTGCACCTGCTTCTCCCAATATCTGGATATTTCTCAAGATGCTGATAAACCAGGAAGAATTTGTGCTGGTAAGAACTACTAGTGATGGATGAGAACTCGGTGAAAAATAAAAAAGTAAAAGTTGTTTTATAGCAATGATATAAGTAAAAGCACACGACTTCTCATTTTATTTCAGCTATAAGTGACCAACATAAAGATCCTATCCTTGGTCTAGTAGTGGAAACAGATAGAACTCATTACATAGTATCAGAGTCTGCAAATGTCACTGTTCGATTGTCACGTGGTTCCCATGTGACATACAATATTTCTTACGGAGATGGCTCAACAGAGCGACGTGCCTATAGTGACATATTGTCTTTTCTATCAGCACCTGTTTTTACTCATAAGTAAGTTGATATATTTCTCTTTTTTTTTAATTAAAAAGGTAGAATGTATTAAAAATGTGATCATATATAATTTTATTTACTGCAGATATACTGATTCTGGAATGTACAATTTAACTGTGTTGGCAGTCAACGATATAAGTCATGAAGTACAGTCAGTAATGATCGCAGTCGTTGATGATATAAAAAATTTGAATTTGAAGCACACGTCAACAAATGCTTCATATGATGGGCAAAAGAGGTTTGAACTTCGAACACCAAAAACCTTGCGAAATATAAAAGTAGCTTGGGACTTTGGAAATGGATTTGAACAACAGAAGCCGATGTCGGTTTTTTCTTCTTCGCTTCCTTTGGCAGTGGATCATTACTATAGCGTTGGAAACAAATTTGTAAGAGTTAATATATCGAATGAAAGAACTAACCAAGTGATAGAAGAAAAATTTTACATTGAGGAGAAAATCTCCGGTTTAGAAGTTACCTGTAGTTCGTACATCACGGAACCATTGAACACTCTATATTTAAAAGTAAGTTTTCAAACAGGATCAAATGTGACTGTGTACATAAGTTATGGAGACGGAAATAAATTACAATCAGTTCTCAGTAACAAATTGAGAGGCGAATTTACAAATTATTACCCCTTTGTATATTCGAATATTGGAAAATACAATGTTTCAGTGAGGATCGTGAATACCTATTCAGATGTGAATATTACCTCCCCTTACATTCATGTAGAAACTCCTATAAATAATCTTCTTCTGTCGACCGGAAGTGTTGTAGCCTTACCACCTGGAGAAGTTAAACTTTTGTTATCTTTTACCGGAAGTGAGCTGGAACCGTGCTGTATGAATTGTAGCACTTACATAAAGGGCGTTTTTCAGCAGATGGATGAAATAGCTCTTATTAATAAAGATAAACCAACAGAATTTTTAGTTGTTTGGCAAAATAACAGCGATGTTGGCACAGCAGATATAGAGATGCTTTGTAAAAATAAGTTAGGGAACCAGACTTTCAACACTTGGACAACTTTCCAGAGAAAGATTGAACAGGTTTATATAAGTACAAGTCAAACTTCGATTAGTGTCGGTGGAAGCATAACTGTTAAATTTGACATCGGGGTAGGATCTCACATTCAGTATCAATACGACTTAGGAAATGGTATTCGGGACAGTGTAAATCTTCCCAACAGCGTCGTTTCAAACCATTCGGTAAGTGTGACTTCCAGCTATCAACAAATGGGTGTTTATGAAATAAAATTCAACGTCAGCAACCTTGTATCCTCCGTTATAAAAAGTGTGAAAGTAAAGGTCTTGGAGGAAATAAAAGGCTTGAAACTGTCCCGATATTATAAAGTTTCGGATTTGACAGAAACCACGCATCATGGACATGGCTCAGACGGTGACATCTTTCCTCTGGAGCGTCCGGTTATTTTCGAAGCCGTAGTTAGTAGTGGAAACGAAATCATTTACACTTGGAAATTTGGATCGGAAAACGGATACGTAACCAGTGATGCCAAAGTGATGTACAAATTTCAGTATGTGGGGTCTCACCTGATATCTGTAAACGTTAGCAATGGTTTGTATTTTGAATATAAAGAATTCAGTATTACTCTTGAAGAAATTGTGAATCCATATTCATTGAAAAACAACGGTCCAAAGATGGCATTTGATCTGATGACATTTACCTTAAAGCTGTCAAACCCGGGAACAAACCCTTGCTATCTTTGGTTTATGGGGGATTTTTCAACCATAATCATTTATGGCGAGAATGTATGTAGGGAAAAAGCTCAATTAAATAACTATGAATACAGAGCATGGAATGTCTCCAACGAAATACGCCATCAGCACATGTACAAAACAAATGGAACTTTCAATGTGAAGGTCACAGGTTTTAACGTTGTATCCAGTCAGAGTATCAGTAATATAGGAGTAATCACAGGTGTCAATTGTTATTACCCTGTTGTTCATATCATCGGTGGTGGACAAAGAATAGACGAACCTGTCGCCATGTACAGATCAGAATGGATCAATTTAGAGAGTTCCGCAGAGATAAACTGTCCTGCTACTAGCGGTCCTGAATATCACTGGAAAATATTTAAAATACAACAGGGTAATACATATCTGAATAGAGTGTTTAGTTCATATGATGTAAATGTCACTTCCACAGATCATTTCAAAATATTATTTCCACCAATAACATTTACACCGGGTCTTTACCGAATTAGCTTAAATGTTTCCATGATTGGGATCCCGGGCATGTTTTCTGAACATTACACATATCTGAACATTACAAAAACTCCACTGGTCGTACGAATTTCTGGTGGAACAGCAAGAAACATTGGATATGACTCAAATTTGACACTTAATGCACATGAAATGACTTACGATCCAGATTCTCCAGCTACTTCAAATTTCACCTTTGAATGGAGATGTCGAAAAGAAAACGAGGTTTTCCCTTCGGTGATAGATTACGTGACCATTCCAACTAGAGACGAGGATTTGAATCAAACGAGACTTAGTGGATGTTTTGGTACAGGCATAGGGAAACTCCCTATTTCATCTGGGATAATCAAAGTATCGACATTGTTCCTTGATCCTCATTCAAAAAATGTTTTTGAGGTCTATGTTAGGAAAGACACTCGGGAAGGCACCTTTCAACAGACGGTCGAAGTTACTGAAGGAGAAGCTCCACTTATTCAGATTTTGTAAGTGTTTCTCTGCTTATAAAAAATTCCATTTTAATACAGTAGTAAATGTTTATAATAAATAATTACTCTAATTTATGATACAACTTGTACTACAGATGTGTGGAAAACTGTAATTCCAAAATGAATCCTTCAAGTCAATTCAGTGTCCAAGGGAAGTGTTTATCGTGTAATTTGTACGAAAAAGTTGAATATGATTGGTCTTTATTGGTTGAAGAGTCTGGAGAGTTTCAAGATGTTAATGAATTGGACTCGCTCTTGGTTACAGGTAATTTACACTCATTTACCTTTAATTAAATAATATTCTGTCTTTTTGTCTGAAAAATACTTCAGGAAGATTTTGATTAATTTTACAGATACAAAGTCGTCTGTTCTTGTATTCAAATCGTCCACTCTAACTGGAGGGAGGACATATCGACTTCGATTATCAGCGAGTGTCTATGGATATTCTAAGAGTTTCACTGAATATGAATTTATAACAAATTTACCGCCTTATGGAGGATCTTGTGGTATTAATCCGACCTCTGGTAAGATTATTAATTAAATACTAATTACGATATAACCTTTATACCATTTAAACAGAAAGAAAAGTATTGTATAAATTGTGCTATTTTCATTATAAACCTGATTAAATTATGCAGGATATGCTTTGGAAACGGAATTTATTATAAGCTGTAATGACTGGGTCAACCCTGGCGAAGAAGACAGCAAAGGAGCAGGTCTGCTTTATCGATTCTGGTCGAAGCTTCGTGGTCGTCTGGACACACAGCTTCTGTACTACGGCACAGATCCCTACACTCCTGACACTACATTCCCTCTTGGTCCAGAGGAAAGCGACTTCTTACATGATGTAGTTGTGCGAATAGCAAATCCAATCGGAGAATACGTTGAAACTTGGCTTAGTGTGAAAGTATCAAAACCAATCATCAAAAACGAAGTAAGTGAGCTGATTTCACTCACGTCAGGACAGGATAGTACGCTAGAGAATCTTCTGTCTTCTGGGAAAACACAAGAGGCCAAACAAGTCATTGTTGCAGTAGCATCGCTGATTAATACTTCCCCTACAGAGGTAAGGTATTCCAAGGGAATTCGTTTTTCGATATAAAATATAAAATCTTTTAAAATTTCTGGTCAACACAGATGATTTTTATGCTTTGTTGATAAATATCTGACATTTAAGAAAGTTTATCAACCTTTGTTCTCATTCATAGATTGGAATATCGAGAGCGTCGGTCATAAAATCTAACGACAAAGTTATTTCAACAACTACCACAAGTATCATGACAGAATCAACAACATCCATTCCGGGCACTACAGAGGTTTCGTCAGATTTTCCAATTACTGCAGAATATGATAATATTACCACAGTTATGCCAACAGTTTCAAGCACAACTCCAAAAGCTACGACATTGAAAATAACATCGACAATTACAACTTCAACAATATCAACAACATCAACTGAACACCTAACCACATATATTGTTGGAACAACTCTAGATCCGGCAGAAGTTGAAGCTGAAAAACAGAGAAAAGAGGCAGAAGAAAAGAAGAAAAGGATACAGGTATATTGCATATTTTGTAAAATATGGTGTCTTAGTATAAATGATGTTTAGTATAATTTAAAAAAAACTTCAGTGAGAGTTTTTGAACTTTACATTTCCAGCTTAGAGAGTCACTCTTAACAACACTGTCTGCTGAGACGACGTCCTTGACCATGGATTCTTTACAGCAAACGGCTCTTTGCTTTAGAGTTGTCACTCACGAATCATCTGAGTTGTCTGAAACATCTCAAGTAAGAGTAAATAAATTGAGTAGCCTTCTAGACAGGCCTTAAGATATTTAACAACATGCTAAAATAAATCAGTATTGAATGGAGAACACTCACTGTAATTGTGACCTTCACCCATAGATGAAATAAGATCTTGCATAAAAACACTCTTCTTAGATCAGTCATCTGGAGAAAATCTATTGAGAAGTTTTTATTAAACATTATCATCATTTCTACTCATTTATCATTTCATGCTCCTCTTATTTAAATCTTTTAGGATTTAGCAGTTAAGGCGATGAAAGATGTTGCTAATTCGTTCCAGAAAATTGTTAGTCAATCGCAAACAGATTCTACAATTCAGAAATACAGTGCTGCAGAAGGTAAAATAAGGTTTTCAATGTCTTTACTAATTCTATAAAACCATAAAAAATCAATTTTAAAAGTTGAAGAAGAATGGAAGGCCTTCGTTACTCTTTTTGTTACATGATTAAAAGAATAACTTTCTTGTTGTGTTTTTTAAAGATATTCTGGCTTGCCTGAGCTCCGTTATCATTGCTGCCACTGGAGAAGAATTATCAGAGATTCAGAAGATAAATGAAAAAGAAGGGCTCCTGGAAGAGGAGCAAAGTGACTCCACAGACAAACAAACCACCACCACCACAACCACCACACCAGCCTCAAACATCGGAACCACGGAGGCACCCGGGACAACAAAATCTCCAGAGCAAATCAAACTGGAATCAAAACAAAAAGTATAAATTTTTATTACGACCTGAGACACAAAAACTTGCAAGAATATTTAGACATATTTTCTTATGCTGCATAAATAGATACATGACTGTATACCAACATTGACTGCATAATAACTTTATCCAAATTGAAATTCCACATCATAAAACTGAAGCGCTGAAAGATTATAATTGTCACAATGAAATTGATTTTGAAAGATATCAATTTTTAAATATAATCAAATCAAAACATTTTCACCCTAGCCATTCAATTTTACATGCATATATACATTAACAGGTTCGAACATTGGCAACTAAGGTGTTTGATGTCGCGGAGGTAGTTTACAAAACCGTCATTCAGGACCGTGTCCCAGGGGAGCCACCTGTTGTTCTAGAGTCTCAGCTGTTCACAATAGTAGCTGAAAGACTGGCCGTCAATGCTGTAAACAACACTCAACTAGATACATCCACTGGATCATTCCAGATGCCCGAAATGGACACGATTTTATCGCAGAACACCTCATACGTAGATTCAAAGGTTTGTAAGATTAAAAACATGGATTGTGTATGTTAGATAAAATTCTTTATTCCAATTGTTTATAATTAAGTAAACTGAAATAAATCTATTGTAGGTTCTGAGTTCCAAAACAAATCCATATGTCTGGGACAGTTCAGCGAAATTCATCAACACACCGGTCCTGACTCTGAACTTGTATGACAGTGATGGACAAGAAATAGCTGTGAAAAATCTTAATGACAACATAACGATTGATATCAGTGTTGATTCCTCAAAACTGAAAATATCAGAAATAAACTTTCCACTCACTTCAAGGGAGAAATTGTCTTACCATTTCTTCACGGTTAGGTCCAATATGTCCTCTGTTCACATTATCGTAAAACCAGAAGATCCTGAAACGAAGTTAGAATGTTATGTAGGTATAGGTAGACAGCCGACGATAGACGATTACGATTCTAACTTCACTATTCCGAGAGAGTTGGCCTACAGTGTTGAGGATGCTAGTTTGAGAGATGAACTAGAACACACAATATTTCTCTCTCCTGAGTATGTCCAAGAACGAGGCATTGGTAACTACTATCTTGGAGTGCGACCTGTTTGTAAGTATTCATAAGAACAAAACACATTCTACTTTTTTAAGAACCATTTTCAAGATTGTTTCTATCATTTTACTGTTTTACTGAAAAGTATATTTGAGCATCCAGTGGAATTTTATTTTGATTAAGAATCGGAATTATAAATGTTGGTTTTGTTGAAGCAATTAGATCTTACTTTTTCATATATAATACGCTTGCTACAGATATTTGTATATATGAATCAAATTTTTTTCAGACAATGAGACAGAGGAGGAGGAATACCCTAATTATGACGACTATTACTCAGACTATGGGATAACAACACCATGGGATCTTCTGAACTATACCATCAGTTTTGTCACTTCGGGATGTTTCTATTGGGATGTTTATTTTGATAAATGGGTTTCAGATGGATGTCAGGTAAATGACATGGTACAACTTGTAAATATTGTGATATGACAGTAAAATGCATCTTTTAAAATAATAATAGTATTATTTTAAGATCTAAAGTAATTCTGCTAAATATCCACTTAATTTGGTTATTATTAATACATTATACACTTTACATGGTTAAGCTATTTTCTCGTACATATCTTAGCCTTTTCGCTTAAGAAAAATTCGCAGGTAGAAAAAAAATGAAAAACATAAAATTGTACGTACACGTACACATTAATTTGATGTCTAAAGGACAAAATTTTTTCCATACATTTTTCCATCCATTTAGGTCAGTTACCTGTCAAATTCTAACTACACACGATGCTTATGCAACCATCTGACGTCCTTCGGTTCTGATTTCTTCGTTCCCCCAAACACAATAAACTTCATGACAGTTTTTAACGACTTTGAATCGAAACTGAGGGACAACTGGGCAGTCCTGGCTGTCCTTTGCTTGATGTATTTCCTTTACACGGTTGGATTATTCTGGGCTCGATATAAAGATAAAAGAGATGTCATAAAGGTATTATACCTGTTCATGTAAGTTAAATTATTACATGAATTTAGAGATATAAAAATATTTTAAAATTTGCATTGTTTTATTTTTAGCTCACCTGAGCCGAAGGCTCAAGTGAGCTTTTCTGTTCACATTTTGTCCGTCGTCCGTCCGTCTGTCCGTCTGTCCGTCCGTCTGTAAACTTTTCACATTTTCGACTTCTTCTCAAGAACCAATGGGCCAATTTTAACTAAACTTGGTACAAAGCATCCTTGGGTAAAGGGGAGCTTAAATTGTTAAAATGAAGGGCCAAGTCCCCTTACAAAGGGAGATAATCAAGAAAAGACAAAAATAGGGTGGGGTCACTAAAAAATCTTCTTCTCAAGAACCACTGGGCCAGGAAAGCTGAAACTTATGTGGAAGCATCCTTTTTAGTGTAGATATTAAATTGTGAAAATCATGACCCCCGGGGGTAGGGCGGGGCCACAATAGAGAATCCAATTTTTACATAGAAATATATAGATCAAATCTTTAAAAATCTTCTTCTCAAGAACCACTGGGCCAGGAAAGCTGAAACTTATGTGGGAGCATCCTTAGGTAGTGTAAATATTAAATTGTTAAAATCATGAGCCCCAGGGTTAGGGTGGGGCCACAATATGAAATCCAAGTTTTACATAGAAATATATAAAACAAATCTTTAAAAATCTTCTTCTCAAGAACCACTGGGCCAGGAAAGCTGAAACTTATGTGGAAGCATCCTTGGGTAGTGTAGATTCTAAAGTTTTAAAATAAAAAAGGGAAGGGGGTTGTTGGGCATGATAGGTATAGCAAGAGGGGGAATCTGGTAAAGATCTGCATCACCCAAGTTACTCAGGTGAGCGATGTGGCCCATGGGCCTCTTGTTGTTATTTCTCACAGTTTTAATAAATGTTATATAATCATAAATTAAGGACCAATTTTGTAAAATTTGAATTATTTTTTTACCTCTTAAAGACAACTGTTTTTCTCCTTTTAGTGGGGTATAGCACCGCTGGCTGATAACGTAGTATGTGACAAATTCTTCTATCAGCTAACTGTTTGTACAGGAATGCGACGAGGAGCTGGAACCAAATCTAAAATCAGTTTTGTTTTAGCTGGGGAAACCCAAGACACCGGAGTCAGGGAACTTATAGATGAAAAGGGGATAAAGGTACGCACCATCTTGATTTTTTTTTTACGTTGAATAAAAAGTATATGATTTCAGACATCAAGCTCTGATCTCGTATATTAATTCCCTTTTGACCTAATAACGTTTACACAAAAAAACCATTATGACATCTCAAATGTGTGAAATGAAATCAGTATAATATAGCTGTTATCCACTTCAGAAAGGATTGAACAGTGATAGATATTCTTGCTTACGGATTGGTAAACTTCCATCCAGTATCAAAGGTTTTTTTTTTTTTACAATTTAATTGATATAGGTAATGAACATGTACATAATTCAGCGTCCCAGATTATTTTTAAGTGTTTATATGTCTATTTAGACATGCGGTCGCGGAAGTATAAACAACTTCGTTCTGTCAACATCTGAGTGGCTTGGTCCTCTAACCTTTATAAGGATCTGGCATGACAATACCGGGGAAGGAAAATATCAGGGATGGTACCTCAGCAAAATTATTGTCACTGATCTTCAAACATCGGAAACGTGCGTAGTTCTCATTTTTAAACTTAATAGAAAATATTTCTTTAATTAGAATGGTTATGTTTTTATCAATAAGTTCTTCATCTTGAATAGATATTTCAGAAATTCCTGGGAATCTTAAAGTATTATCTGTTTTTTTTATTTTATTTTTTGTAATGGCGCATTTTCAGGTACTGCTTTTTATGTAATCGTTGGTTGGCGGTAGAGGAAGACGACGGCATGATTGACAGACTCCTTCCGGTTGCAAGTAAAGAGGATATGACCAACTTTCAAAACCTATTCATGACAAAAACCAAAAAGAGCTTCACCGATTCTCATCTTTGGATCTCCGTATTTAGTCGACCTCATCGAAGCACGTTCACGCGCGTGCAGAGATTGTCTTGCATTCTATCACTTGTCATGACTACTCTGATGGTGAATGCCATGTTTTACCAAGCGGAAGATAAAGTGAAGAATAAAGAATACTTATCGTTTGGACCTTTTGAATTTTCTTTGAGTGGAATATACATAAGCTTTGTTAGCAGTATGATCGTTTTGCCAGTGAATATTATTATTGATCAGTTGTTCCGGAAATCGAAACCGAAGCGGAACAGGATTACCAATGCGTTCATGGGCAAGAACGTTCAGCCTCTGGCAGCTCTGTCACAAATTAAATTGCGACCATGGTCTCCTCCAGATGAAACGAAATTAGAAGACTACATTGAGAAACCATACTTGCGACCAGACAGTGCAAACAGTACTTATTCAATGCATTCCGATTCTGCTCTGATAGAAAAAAGAAAGAAAAACAGTGAAATTGCTGTAATTAGCAACCCACATATAAAACCTTCCAAGAAAAAATCCAAGAAATTCATGCTTCCACATTCGTGTGTTTATGTGGCTTACACACTTGTTTATATCTCGGCTTTACTGTCCTCATTTATAACATTCTTATACAGCATTGAGTGGGGGAAAGAGAAATCCTTAAGCTGGTTGTCCTCAATTCTCTTGTCCATTTGCGAATCTGTGATAGTGATCCAGCCATTTAAGGTTCTGTTCTTGTCAACTTGATTTATTGCAAAGAAACTATATATGACTGAATAAAACTAATGAATTTTTAAAATAAAACTAAGGTCTTTTTTCTGCAATGTTTCAATAACATGAAGGCTTATGTAAGTCTGATTCTTTTTTCCCCAGATCATTCTTGTTGCAATGTTATTATCAATCATACTCAAGAAACCAGACATTGAAGAGGAAACAGAAACAAGCGAAGAATCTCAGATGAACAACCAGTTACTTTCTGATGAAGAACTCCTCTATAAGAACCCTGTCAAATGTATGTGTATTAACTATTAAATGATACAAATATTTTTGATGATAAAACACAAAAACAAATCAAGTTAGGCCTATTCTTTTAAAATAAGATGGTATACAAAATATTTTCTCATGGAGATGATTATATAGTACACTGTACTTGTATATCTAGTAGATGTGCATGTGTAAAATCAAATCTTCAATTTTCATTGCTAAATTTGACATCTTAATTACAGCTGAAAGACCAGCATTGAAAATTGAGCCACCTGATAAAGAAAAACTGGCCGAAGCCAGAGAGAAAAGAATGAAGGAGATTGCTATGTTCGAGATTGTGCGAGAGATCGCCTTCTATTTTGTGTTTGTGGCACTTATTGTACTGGTGGCTAGTCATAACAGAGACAAGAAGGCCTACCAAGTTAAAGAGGCGCTGGACAATATCATTTCTATCAACAAAGTTAACCAAGTAAGATTAACCTAAATTCACATTGAAATTTCAGGGAAAAAAGTAGTATTAAAAATTGGGAATTAATCTTAAAAGAGTTTTTTCTCTTTTAGCGAAGCCATGTGCCAGACTTCTGGAATTGGTTACTTGAAATTCTGCTACCCAGACTGTACATTTCAAAACAATGGAACAACATGCCAGTTGATGATAACGAAAAACGCATGATAGCAACAAGGGTGGCATACAGGGTTGGTCCAGTGCGAATTCGCCAACAGCGCGTGAAACAAGGTTTGAAGTTTTTACATACTATTTTATGAACGTTTCACTGGCAATGATTTTACTTTCAAACATTCGGAAGCATAATTCATAATTACTTTTTTAAAAAAAGCCGCCACGAGATGTCTGTTATTTTGACATTGGAGTTAGTAATAAATGTTCTCTTCGGTAAACTAACCAATATTAGAATTTTGTTATGCCTTTAGAAATGGTTCTTGTATAAATCGACAAAAATAATCTAGATTTGTACTGGAAACAATTCAAATGTTATCAAAACATTTATTGAGTGGAATCTCGGACAAAATATGATTTGCAGAACAGTCAAGTCCACAGCAGTTGCCAACGACGTAACGAAAATTTGTTCCGATTACACGCATATTGGTCCCAAGTCCAGTCAATAAGTATGAAAAACTATTAATTAACAGTCAGTACATTACATGTGTAATTTTTATCTATTTTAGAGGAATGCAATGCTGTTCCAATGATGTATAAATTTATCGAAACATGCAGTCAGGAATGGTCAGTGACGATGGAAGACGATGCAACATACACGGAGGGCTGGAAGGGTTCAAAGGTCAATCAGTCCACTATGCTAATGAACTACCCCTGGAAGCATCGTTCCCTGTTTGATGACGCTGGACTCCCATTTTCTGGAGAATTCGGTATATACACTGGAGGAGGGTATATCGCTGATTTGATTGGAGATCGAGAAAGAGCCATGAAGATTGCCAAAGGATTAATGTTGAATAACTGGATCAATCAATACACCCGAGCAATTTTTATAGAATTTACCGTTTATAATCCTTATGTTAATATGTTTTCCAACGTATTCATCGCATTCGAGATGCCGACGATGGGAAAGATGATGATAAAGGAATCTGTGAAGACATTTCGTTTGTTTTCTTATCTCGGAGGATACGGGGTATTTGTTGTGCTTTGTGAGCTTTCCACACTGGCTATTGTTATCTACTTCATTGTTAGAGAAGTCAAAGTTATCAAACAGCAAAGAAAAAAGTACTTTAGGAGTTTCTGGAATTGTCTCGAGATCTTTAACATGATTTGTGCCGTGGTAGCTGTATCGATGTACATTGTCCGGCACATGATAACACAACTCGCAATGCATTCAGTGAAGAAACTAAGAGGTAAATCTTGATTTATTGTTTTTTTTATATTTATGATTAGAATAATCGGTCAAGTTTTCTTTTCTCAACCTTATATTTATAGATTAAAACGGACTTTTTTTCTGTATTTAACAATCTTCTCTATTTCTTCCAGACAAGTTTTACAACTTTCAAAAAGTTGCTATGTGGGACGAGGTCTTCGGATATTTCATGGCTTTTACGATTTTCGTTTCCATCATTAAACTTCTTCACTTATTTCGCTTTAACAAAAGAATGTCCATGATTGCAGGAACATTGAAGTACTCAACAAAAGAACTTTCAGCTTTCTCTGTTGTCATTATTATTGTGGTCATTGCGTTCGCATCGTGGGGATATATCATGTTCGGTCCAAAGATGTTCCAGTATAGGAATATGTTCCAATCAATTGAAACAATGTTGGCTTTTGCCCTTGGAGACTTTGATTACCTAGCCTTGGAGAGAGTCAACCGTGTGTTTGGACCTATATACTTTTTTACATTTATTCTATGCATCATGATTGTTTTGTTAAATGTTTTTGTTACAATTCTCAACGAATCTATTTCGGCTGTAAAATCTGACGTTTCCAAACAATCCAATGAGCATGAAATTGTTGCATTCATTTGGGGCCGTTTCAAAGATTGGGTTGGCGTCGACTTTGATAAATTCTTTGCTGAAGTCAGAAGAAAATATATGCTTGGTAAATACTAAGTAGTTGATATAGATTTTAAATTGGTAAATTGATACTTTTCTAAAATTTAAAATTCAATGATGAGATAAGAATATATTGATAGACAAGTTTTTCATGATCAACTTTATGATATTCCAGGTATAGATTACAACTTTAAGTTTCAGGCATTTTTTATTTTGGTTTTTACAACAACAAAAAAATATAATGGTAATGTAAAATGTTAATCATTTTTAGGTTCAGGAAAAGCAAAGACAAAAGAAAAGGCGGAGGACATTGAAGCAAAACTAAGAGATATTTCCAAACGGCTGGAACAGCTGGGTAAATATGACACATCAAAAATGGACCATCCGCCCCCGGATATGAACTCGAGACAAATTGATGACGTCACGAAAGAACTCCTCTTCACGCGACTATTTCCAACCATGAAACACCAGACGATCAGTCTTCATTAATCGAAGTCTGGTTCCATGATCTTATTTTGGGATTAATTTCATCAAATTCAATCTGTATTAATTATATTGGAAACAAATGTAATGTAATGTGTTGTTTGTCTTTATGATATACGTGTGTTTTACATCATCTAGTCCTCAAGATATGAAAAAAATGTCTGTGATTATAATTTTTAGACAAAGAGGACTGTTTCATCTGAATATTATTAAGATGTTGACGCCAGAAAATGATTTAAAATTAAAAATCTTAGCGTTTGTCATTTAAGCAACATTCTACTTTAGTTATCAGGGGTTTTCCTGGCTTGTTTTTGGGTCCGTTTAATATTTTCCCAATTCTGAATCTTTTTTTCCCAATTTCGTATCCTTGACAAAAATTTAAGAGAGTTCAGAAAGAAGTAAGATATTAATTTTGTTTCCCTGCAAAACGTCTGAAAATCTCCACAAGTGTCAACGTGTGATCGTATCATCGAGCTATAAATTTAAGTGATGCAACACATTTGTTAAATCACCTACGATGTTTAGTGACTAGTTATTATTACAATTTACATCACTTGTTTCATTCAAGTCACCTAAATCCTATAATGATCATAAAAGGATTGCACCTATCATGAAAGTTGTCAGTGATCTTTATACACAAAAGTTACAATACTGTGCACTTCCTTGCATGATCTAAAAATAGAAAGGGTTTGACTAATTTGCCTAAACGCAAAAAACCTGTCATCCTACTTTTCTATCTTCCAACATGGGCCTATTCAAAGATATATTTTCATTTATCTGATATGATTAATGTAACTACAAAGTAAAATCAATATAGATAACAAATAATTTCCAAAATTTTATTTCAAATTTTTTTTTTTAATTTATAAATCTTTTACTCCAGTCATGAATGTAAAGTAAAACTAAGCAGTGTTTTCCTGCATTTTTTTTTTTAAATATACAAAAAAAAATTATGTTCACTTATTCTTAGTCACAAATGGAATATATATTGACAAAAAAATTCTGAAAATCATATTTATCCAATTAATCACTTAAACTTTTTTCCTTACTTCAGTCATGAATCCATAAAACTAAATATTTTTTTCTGGAATTTTTCATTATCCAATTAAAAAATATTATGGCCATTTAAATATTTTTTTTATATAATGATAAGTCAAAATATATAGCAATTTTTTTTTGGCATTTTTTTTTTTTTATCATCCAACAACAGCTGAATAATGTGCGACTCTTTATATCTGTCTACAGTTGTTTACTTTATTGTAACACAGACCCTTTTTGGTCCCTTCATTTTCATTGATTTGGGGAAATAACGAAATTGGTCCTTTTTAAAAATTTTCCCAATTTGAACAGTTTTCGCGTTAATTTTCCCATTCTAAGCAACCCAGTTTAAAAATTAGTTTATACCGATGCCTCTGTATGCCTAAATCTCGATATTAAGTGAGTTCAGTTTTGAAGATTTTTTTTAAATAGCTACAATCTTATTTTTATCAATATGTATCCATTTACAGTCTTAACAATTTCACTCCACATACCTTCCGATGTTCTATATCGTGTTAAAATTTCAAAATTAGTCAAATGTACATTTGTTTTAAGATGAATATAATGACTATCACTAGCCGTTCTGAATATGCTTTCTTTCATGAATTTGTTACATAAGCTGACAGATTTTTGTATTTAAAATGAAACGATTTTCTTGAAATTACTCTGTATAGTTCATTTAATTATTTCATTACATGTGTTAGTGTTATAACATTTAAAGATGTGTTGTTGATTCTTGAAGTTTAATTGTGTTAGAGTAATCAAGAACTTGTTGCTAGTTGAGATATCATTAAAAGTTTTAAAAAATCACTTCTTAGCGTTTTGAGGGCGATACTTTAAGTTCATATGTTTTTCATTATTATCAGATTGGAGTAACTTTGAAAAACAGCAAGTTTACAACTGAGTTGCTGTTAATATTAATTCCTGAATTACATAGACAGTGTGCTGTAAAAATTTGAGGATGTATTTTCTCATTAAGAAGAATCATATAACCGAACGCTGAATTTCATCATATTCATTTTTTGTCATTGAGAAATAATGAAAATATATTTGCAGGTGATAAACTCAATTTTATTTGAAGTTCCAGGCCTCAAATACAACAACAGCATGAAAGTTCAATAAATTAACGAAACAAATGTATACGAGGGTTGATCCAAAAGTTCGTGGAATTTCTTTCTAAAATTTTATCGTGATTTGATGAAAGCAAAAAACAGGCATATTCATAATATAGAGTCATAATGCAACAATATTAGAAAATTTCACCACTTTCCAATTACCAATAAGGTCACACGAGCTTTCTGAAAATGGATAGTTGTGAAACCCGGGGGAGACTTCGACGTAACGTCAAGTTAGATATGTCACGTCACGTTATAGAAGCATCTCGCCCTAATATCCAATTTGACTACGTAATTCTACAAAATGCTACCCATTTCTCCATTTGTTTTTCTCAAGAAAAGCTTGAGTATCCTCTAGAACCAACTTATCTTCATTTTTTTCTCATATTTCAAATATTACCCATCTTTCTATATGATGTTCCAATTTCAGTAGTAATTTCAAGAACAACACGGCAGCCGACAACGTTCATTAACGCTTTCAATTTGTCTAGGGGGATACGCACTTAAAACAGAGCCTCCAAAAAGCGACCACTTTTTTAACTAATGTCCATGGAAGTTCTATTTTTCTTAAATTTCTTATGCCACTAGAAAACCAGTAACAAAATGCATTTTCCCAAGCCTATATCAATGATCTACGCGTTTAAGATAGTATTTTTAAAACGTATGACAAATTTGACCTGTGTAACAACTTCAAGATGAACAATAAATAATCAACTAATAAACTAAATATCCAGTAAAATCAGTAAAACTCTCACACAAAGGTTTATAAAAGATCAAACAATTGTAATGATGACATAAGTTTCGTTTTATAAACCACATAGGGCGGTTGTATTCTCATTTCACATATTAAGTTTTAAAATGATAATAAACGTGTGAATGTCTCCCCCGCATTTCCAAACAACCGTTTCTATGGCAACTGCCACAGAGTTACTATCAAAGATATTTAAAATGTTTTTTAATTTAAAATATTCCTCAAGTGTCTATATTTTCATTTGTAATTTTCAACCAATTCCACCTAAAAATGAATAAATTATGAAGAAATTCCACGAACTTTTGGATCAACCCTCGTAAATAGATTTACTATAATACTAATATCATTGTCCAGTCTCATCAGCAAATATGCCGGTCGTCTTAATTTCTTAAAACAAATCAGTTTGCTATAAAAAAAATGACTGAGGCTTTAAATAGAATTGAAAATTGTTTTCATAATGAAGTAAACGACAAAGCAAAATTCTACGTTATATAAAAATTACATTCCTCATCAAACATCTGGCTACAAATATTGTACAATGTTTGAATTCATTAATGTTAAAACTGCTAATTTGTCAGATCTAACAAAAAGATTGAGAGATTTCATTCATTTTAGAAACTAGTTTGCTTTCAACATAAAAACAACAATCTGTCTGTAAAGAGCCTCTTAAAATGAAAAATGATTTTTTTTAAACATCGGACACCCTGAACGGTTTCTGTGACTACTAAGCAAACCCCATAACTTGTTTAAATCTCTTTGTAAAGTAGTCGATGAACTCATACTCATTTTGCTTCCCTTCCATGTTTTCCTTTACCGTCGAGAAAGCATCGGCAATTATGGTCAAAAATATACTCATCAAACCCACGTACACAACCAGAATAAACATGAAGAAAAATAAAGGACCCAGCACTGGTTGCGCACTTTGCATAGCAACAAAATCAAAGCTGCCCAATGTGAACGCAAACATGGATTCTGCTGCGCCTACTACATTGCTGTATGAGATCATTGCGTTGCTGAAGAGGAGGAAACCTGTTGCTGTAAATGTCCAAAAGTACAGTAAGAAAGCGATGCTGAATACTTTGAGGTCTTTCGTTGCATACTGGACTGTCTCGCCCAACATACCCATCTTCTTATTGAATTGTAACAGTTTCAGGAACTGGACTGTGGCTAAGAATACCACAAAACCACACATAAATCCGTACATTTCATCATAAAGAGCCAAAGACTGGAAATTCACGTAGTCCGCTGCAAATTAGACATACATACTTTGTAGAAAATAATTACATGTACTAATCAATCACAAAATAATTGTTTATATTCTTTTTCCTATCTTTTTAGACTGAAATAAATGTTATCACGAAACATCCTACATGTACTTTGTTTAGATATAGTTCGTACGATCAAGAAAGAGGAGAAAAGAACTTATGAATTTGCAGAAATAAAAATATTAATCCTTACCCTTTTCTGGATCTTGTAGCGCCTTCATAGCTAACGTGGTGAGTATTTGTTTCAAAGCATACATAGCAATGACAGAGATGCAGAAGCAGAGTAGAGCAAATTCGAGTTTGTTCCAAAATTCCTTAAAATATTTCATCTTCTGTTTCTTCACTTTTCTGATACATCGTATGAAGAAATACAAACTGAAGATAGCATAAATGACTTCTGCAATGAGAACCATAACGCCCAGGCCTCCAACGTAACTCAACAGCCGGAACACCTATAATGTAGCATATAAAATGATAAAGTTGAGTTGATTCGAAATCAGGCATTTCGTAAATTCTTTTGGCTTTATGTTGACCCATCATGGAGTTTTTTTTATATGAAATATTCCCTAGTTATTGTTTGGCCTTTGTTTGTTTAGTAATAAAATTGAATACGGCCGGTATGAAATATGCTGACTATATCTAATCAATACAAACGGTTCGCTGAATGTTTGACTCGTCGAGTTCTTCTATGCAAACGATCAATCCTCCATGTTTAATGCCATGCTAGCAAAAATGTTTTGTTTTTATTTTTTTTTTAATATTAATCCCTATTCTTTATCCTCGCCATTTTCATGTAACCTTTTATTTACCTTTTATTAAAGTATTTTAAAGCAACTTTTTCATGTTATGATGCTTCATACCTTACACTCCAGTCTGGCAACTGCTCCTCCAGAGGACATGAACTCGATCACCATTATCATGGAACCAAACAAGTTAATGTTTGGATTATACACGGTGAATTCTACAAAAATTGCTCTTGTATGAGCATCCATCCAAATCAGGTTTTTCAATTCATTCAGTTTGGCTTTTGTCCTTTCCACGTTCCTTTCAAACATATATACATAACCTCCACCTTTGTATGTTGACATGGTAGCCATATATGGTGCATTGGCTAGCTTTACAGAGTTTTGATATACCCATGGTCCAGGATTTTTAGGTTTTACTAGTTCTGTAATATTGTCGGGATCGGGCTTTACCCACCCTGGTAGGTAAACTTTTGCGTCGTCGTCCGACCATCCATACTCATCTCGACAATGATGTATCAAAGTTCGCATGTATTTATTTACTGTGCATGTGTCTATTGATAAAAAAAATTATAAAATAAAAGTCAACTTTTACTCTCTCTTCATTTAGACTTGGAAATGTTAATGTTAATTCTTTTTTTGTATTAAGAGACATGCAGTTTTTATCTTCAGAATTTCAATATGCCAATGTTGACTGTACATGTCAGTGCTTTTATGGGAAAACAATGAACTTAGAAATTTCAACCTCTCTTTGGAATTGATGACTGATTATTCTGTTCAATATAAATGTTTAAATCACATACCAGGTTTAACACGGAGCTGACGTAGGCGAGGAATACCAACACGTCTCGATGTCATATCGTTGATACACCTCTTCTCCCACCAACGCCTAATTTTGGTTCCATTGTGGTAATGAGTAGCATACAATGACGGAATGAATTTAGTTTCAAGCCAGACCCAATACTGATCGACTGTAGAAATCTGGAAAACAAAACCAGAATTTTGATTTAAGAATCCTGTTTTTCAATAGTAATTTGTTATATTAAAAAGTATATCTCTTTTGTTGTTGTTGATAAAGAGAATAAAATTTTTATTTACCGATTCAAAATTGTGAGTAAAAGTGTTTTTGAGAGTCGTTGCATACGTATAAGATGCCGAGTCTCTTTGCTGGTAGGACAAAAAGAACAGAATAATAACAAAAAATATATAAGCGGTCAATTCCTTCAAAACTTCTTCCATTTTTATTTCCAGTAGGCGTTGTTGTCTCGCCTCCTCTAGCGTGGCGGGGTCTGGAGGCTGGAATTCTGCGTTTGCCTCTTTTCGCTTTGCTGCAATTTCTGAAATCGATGAGGATAGCACAGTTTATGCATAAACATTTGTTCTATGTTTATTATACGTTTTGGTGTTAGTTTTTTTTCATAAAATATTTACTTTCTTCGAGAATTTTGATTTGCAATGACAACACTAAGATTTTGTAAAGTCCTTTGAAAGAGAGGGTTTAATTTTTAGATATAGATACTACTTAAAGTGAATAAATAAATATAATTTCAAGTTCAAACAAATATCCTGTTCGCCTTTTTTACCCTATTTTTCAGGATTAAAAAAATCTCTGTAAAAAGAGAGGATATTAGGATATAGATACTGAAAAAAAGTAAAATAAAATTTCACGTTTTTTAAACAAACCCTCTATAGTCCCGTTGTCTTTTCCGATGAATTCTTCATCATGGGCTGCTATTACGTTATTCAAATCTTCATTTGTATCCTCTTCATCTAATGCAGGCTTCTTTAAAATACAGGCTATAAAAGCCACAAGAAACATGACCTGTAAAAAAAACATTAGACTCCTCACTCATCTTCTCGCAGAGTGAGCAATATTTCAGCCATTTTTCAAAAATAATC